GAGCGATCCAGTTAAAAGTGATCACACAGACATCGAGTACAGCTACATCTGTGGCATAAGTGAGCAACATGTTTTGATACAATAAAATAAACGAGCAACTGCATCCACTTACTTGGTGTAAATGCAAATCTGTGCTTGCACAATTCACAATACTCCTTCCTGCTGTGTTTCAGCCACTGGACCAAACTGTACAGTAAAAACATTGGGAGGTGAAATTCAAAATTCAGGCATGGAATATTTGTTCAGTCACAAGGTATAGAAATAAAAGGGTTCACGACCAATATCCAAACACAGATCTCATGTAACGTTTTTTTTTTTTTTGTTTTTTTTTGCATTGTCATCCTTTACAGGTAGAAAATTTCAATTTCCAGTAAATGAGTGCCTTTTGAGAACTCGGGGATTGAACCGACATAATCAAGAATGAAATATGACTTGGATGGATGGTTTTATTTGCATTTTTTTTAATTAGCAAAACTTTGAAAATATATTGTCCTGCTTTTACCGGTAGTTGATCAACAACTGCCTAGAAACATCCATGCTCTTTTCCTCTACAGAGGGGATAACCGCATGCCCCACCGCCCTCCCCAGCCCCTTTTACCGGCAATGAACAATGCAAATGCAACACATCATGTAAAAATCGTGTTCAGCCCTTTTCCTCTGAGGGATCCCGTAGATTGGTCTGACATAACAACATTCAAAGTCCCTTACAAAAACGGAAAATCCTGCTGGAGTTTACCCTCTACAGTTATGTAGTAATTTAACCATAAACCCGATCTGATCATTACCTAATGGCTTAAACACCCAGGGGAAACACAAATCCTTAACTCACTACACTAAAAATAGCCCACATGTGATATTATCTAAATCAGTTACTCTCAGTCCCCCGCCAAGTCACTCAAGCGGCGGTGTAATAATGAGGACATTTTGATGATGAACTTCAAAACTGTTGTTTTTGTTTTGCAATGTATGTATGTCTGTTCTTAATTAGATCTATTTTTCATTGATTTGGCACATTCTTATTTAGTATTGATCGTTTTTACTTACCATTCTTGGTGAATGAACTTAATGCTGCCGGTGCAAACACAAGGGTGATACAAGGGTTTGTCCGGGGTCCCCTCTGAGCGGCAGACACGACAAATATCCGCTGAGGGTACACACACACGCACACGCACACAAAACCAAGACAGGTTTGTTACTTTCAATATTAGAGACAAATACTATTAACACGGAGGGGGGGGGGGTGTGAATCAAACAAACAATCCTACACTTTTAATCAATATTCAAGAAGTAGCTCTATGTTTCAAAATGTGATCCTTGCACTACGCTCCACGGATTGGGTTATTTATTAATACAGACCACATTATACAGTATTATGGAGGTAGAAATATATTCACTCTCCGCATCATTCATTAAGTAAAAATGCACAATATACTCTGAAAGTAAATCCAGTGTACCGCAATTTCTGTCGTAAGAATGATCACCCTACTTTGATTGAGGGTAACATTCATTTACTATGTCTCAGTATGATGCACTAGTAACAACTGCAAAATATATTGTTGAAATAATGCCTGGTCATCAGTACGTCAATGGGTGTGTCTTTTTATATAGTAATTGCATAATTTCGACGGTGGACAGAATGAGGTGACCACTGACTGTGCTTATGCATGGCTGATGACATCACTAAGTTCTGCTCGGCGTTAGTTTTATCGTAGTATGTTCTTCTTGATTAAAGTCCATCTGATACATGCTATCGTCTAGTAGCATTTAGTCTACATCCTCAGTTGGCTCTACATTACAATATTATGTGGTTAAAATCGAAGGTTAGCCAGCACTAGCAGGCCAGCTCGGCTTGATGTGGTTCTCGATGATGCGCTTACGATCAGTCTGACCTAATGCTGAGTAACGCAAACAAAGACGAAACACCACAGTTTACCTTCTTCGGTCGTGTCCATGTTGTTCACAAATCAACGGTGGCTGTTTCTTCCAGGTGTTGCTCGTTCAGCGAACCCATCAACGACTAATGAAATAGCTTAGCTGGCCAAGTTCCGCTAGCGAGACGAGTACAACGTTAACCTTATGGGTCAGAATGCATTGGCAATCAGAAAATGGTTTCCCAACAGACACAAACTCCCGCTGCTTGCTTCTTTGCCGTGTCCAATTTTAACATCCAAAATACGTTCGACGTTGCTAATTTCACGTTGTTTTTTTTTTTCAGTTAACACGAGAAATACCGCATTCCCTTAAGGTTGCACTGACAGTTGTTAAAGGCAAAAGACAAATTGCTAGCTGAAGCCTAACGCATGCGCCATGGGTTAGAGACACCGTCACAACAGTTTTTCGCCCAACGTCTTCTTCTTTAAAACATACAGTCACTTGAAAGCGAACTCTACGCCTTTATACTGCCGTCTAGTGTGTCGGAGAGTAAATCTATAACGTGCGCGTTACCCTTTGATTCAAACCCCCTGTTACCTATTTATTTTGTAGCCTGTAGTGAGAATACCTGTACAGTTCCGACTTCATACATCAGCAGTTTTCTAATTTAAAATTCTAAAATGTTCCAAAAATATTAGGTGGTAATGAAATACGGCACCTTGAAAATGTATGGTATATTTCGAATGAAAAAGAGCATTTTAGATTCGAATCTCAGTTGTCTTTTCAAGAGTGAAGAAACAGTAGTCACAGATCAATGCCTTACGTTTGTATAGGAACGATTTTTAGTCTAAATTTCGGAGGTAATGACGTCACCATATGACTTCATCGTATATTTGGCATTTGTAAACTTCGGCCAGACTTGAATTACATGACTATCTTATCGGAGTGTTCATCGTTTTGGCTTGAGACAAGTAAGCTTTTATTTTGAAAGTTTTGACAACAATAACTCTCGAATCCGGATCAAAAGCTCTTCCTTACCAGCTGCTAGACTCTCATTTTCTTCACTTTCTAGTTGGACAACTTCACGGTACGTTTCAAACACGTGTTTGCTGTTGTACTCGTGATATTTGCACTGACGTTTAATGTACATACAGCGTGTTTCGTTCTGCTGTTTTTGAAACACGGTGGCGATTGCACCGTTAGACTGCTCTTTGGCCACTGTCCGTCTGACCTGCACGCGCGCGCGTGTGTGTGTGCGTGCGCACCCAGATGGCGAACGAAGCGAAGCCGTGTCCCTGCGATATTGGGGATCGAATGGAGTATGGGGGTCTTGGCCAGGAGGTCCAGATCGAGCACTTTAAAGCATATGTCGTGAAGCCACCGGCAACATCAGACAAGGCCATCATTGTCATCCAAGACATATTTGGATGGCAGCTTCCAAACACCAGATACATGGCTGATATGCTTGCTGCCAATGGATACTTGTGTGTTCGATGCATGTTTATTAACTAACTGAATATATAATAATACGAAGACTTATTTAACTGGGAGGAGGTTATGGTCATATGTTCGAACATTTTGAAATGAAAGTCGAATGTTGGATATGTTCTCCACCCGTAGTGTGAAAGTTTGGTCTGTCATATCTTTTGCTCTGCAGGGCTGTTTGTCCTGACTTCTTCCTCGGAAAGGAGCCATGGAGCCCATCACATGACTGGTCCACATTTACGGAATGGCGCAAAGATAAAAAGCCGACCAACATCAACAAGTAACAACTACACTCTGCAGAAGATTTTGAGTTGCACATCACAGAATCCTGCATGCAATCATGCAAGGGGAGATGTCCGAGAAACAGGGCGTGCAAGTAGTTGCTGCAGCTGTTAAAATAGGATTGGTGTCTTGCTCATGGTCACCTCAGCAGTTAGCCAAGAGGCAGCCTAGCATTTCAGCAACTACTGCAATTGGTTCTACTTTAAATCTCATTCTTTGGTTGTAATACGGTCTGGCTGGAGACCTTAACCCACTTTCCATTTGCCTTCCAGAGAGGTGAACCTTCTGCTGCGTTTCTTGAAAGAACAATGTGGCGCCAAACACATTGGAGTAGTTGGCTTCTGTTGGGGAGGAATTGCCACACATTATTTGGTCCTGCACAACCCAGAGGTGAAAGCTGGAGTGTCATTTTACGGTATGTCCCATGCGCAACAATAACTTTGATACTAACACTTGAGTACAAACATGCTGTCAAACTTTAGCTCCAAGGGTTACAATGTAAGCAATGTAGCTAATATCACATAGGTATCATAGGAGAAGGAGAGGACAGGTATGATCTGAAGAGCCCGACCCTTTTTATCTTTGGGGAGAAAGACCATTTAATACCCATGGATCAAGTAAGGAATGATTTTCATGAGGATAACAGTTATCCTCCTAGCATCATCTTACACATTGCGGCACAACTACTGGCAACTTGTGCTCTTCAGGTGAGCGGTCTTGAAGCAAAGCTGAAGGAGAAATGCACCGTGGATTACCAGGTCAAGATCTTTCCAGGGCAGAATCACGGGTTTGCCCATCGAAAGAGAGAGGACATCAGCCCAGCAGATAAGCCGAGAATTCAGGAGGCCAGAACTGATATGATTAACTGGCTGAACAAGTACATTTAAACAACTGCAAAGTGGAAAGTCAAGTATGTGCCTTTGTAGTGAAACCTTTATGAGACATGTATACCAGCATATCCACAAATATGCAAAATGGGTTTTTTGAGAAACATTTCTCCCCAGTGGGGTTAAAAAAATTAAAATAAGGTGATGAAGAAAACAGTGCATGGAACCAACCACACACCTTTTTTAAGCCAATCAAAAGTCTTAAAAATGTATACCATCTCAGTTTTATACAGAGTTAATGAACAGTCCGAATTGAGTTAAGATGTCGGTGAAGACTAAAAGTCAATTAAAAAAAAAGTGCGAACATTGACAGGGTTTCTTCATTCTGGTCAGTTGTCCAAAAGTGTTGCGGTTTGAATGTGGACAACAGGAAAAAAAATTCCCATGTTCATGTGAATTAATTTTGAGAGAGCATGGTGAGAGACTGCATATGCAACATATTGCATGCAAAATGCTGTCATGGAATAAAAAACATTTCTCCAGACCAACATTTTAATGGCAACTTTGATACGAGAACAGGAAATTGTATCAAATGATAAATAGCAGTAAGCAGTGCGGTTTGGACGCAGTGCTGGGGAAGTGCCTCCAATCTCGAGAACCGGCAGGTTGCAACATTCTAGAGCACAGTCGAGCCTTCAGATGTTCTGGGGGCGGGGGCTTCAGTCTTCGCACTCTCCTGGGCTTCGGATGTCATCGATCTTGAGGATCATCTTGACGACTTGAGTGGCCAGCAAGATCTGCTGCTTTTTGCCAATGAGGGTCTCGATCACATGCTGCTGCTTCATGTCTGCAGTGAAAAAGAAAGACCGTCAGCAACAACTGTATGAAGAGATGTTTTGGAATGAAGGCAAAAGTCTATTTGGTTACTCACCGTTGGTGTTGTTATGCAGACAGTCGATGCCCAGGTGCGGGTTGTTGTCTCTGACTTGTCTGGCTCTGATCGCCGTCATGGTCTGAATGGGGTTAAGGCCACTGTTCTCAGCCAGTGCCATTGGGATTACCTCCAAAGCATCTGCAAATGACCTCATGGCATACTGCTCCAATGATGGGCACTTGGAAAAAAAAAAAAAAGGATTAAGCAACGTAAAGATAAAAGTTACTGCCACGGGGGTCCTTTAGGAAATGTGACGGGCAGTTACCTTGTCAGCAGCCTGGTTGACGGCCAGAGCACAAGCAATCTCGGAAGCTCCTCCTCCATAGACAACACGGTTGTCTCTGACCAGGTTACGAATTACACAAAGAGCATCATGGAGCGCACGCTTGGCCTCATCAATAATCTAATCAGTAGGAGAGATGATTAATCTAAATGTCACATTTAACTTGGAGTCATCACCCTGAATTTTCAGCGATTTACCATTTTGTTGCCACCACGGATGAAAATGGTCACAGCCCTGGTGTTCTTGCAGTCCTGGATCACAAGCATGTGATCCTTTGTGGTGCCGAAGGAAATCTCCTTCACCAGGCCAGCAGTGCCAAGCTTCTCTGGAGTCAGCTCACAGAACCTCGGCACGATGCGGCCCCCGGTCGCGATGGCAATCAACTACGCCAGGAAAATTAACAAACAGCGAATAAGACCACCCACAACATTCAGAACAACGTCCAGTTTTCTTGATTGCTTTTACAGTGCGTGTCTAACCTCAATCTCTGGCCCTCCGACCCAGCGGACAGCAGGTAACTTGCTCTGGAGCAGAAGATGGTTGGCTTCATCGTCAAAGCCCCACTGGCAGATGGCCAAGTTAGCACCGTTGCTTTTGACCTACAACAAATGAGGTTTTTCCATTTGTGCTTCAACTTTGTCAATAGCAACAGCTGTCCTGTTGGGCGACTAACCTGCTGGATCATCTCTTCAAACTTCTCCTTTTCATACTTCTGGAGAGCTTTGTAGTCCTCAACAGAGGAGACATCCAACTTATGCTTGGTCTTGGGCTTAGGGGGTTCAAACGGGCAGGTAAGGATAGCAATTTTAACATCTTTCAGGACCTGAATGGAGACAAAGTGAAGTCGGAATTAGCTACATGGTTGTGCAACCGTTAGACTGCCAGTCAAATTATACACGCTGCGACATTTGTACCTTTGGCATTTGAGGGTGACTGAACTCTTTGTCGACAATGACGCCCTTGATGAGCTGTGTGTCCTCCAACTTGCCTCCTACCTTACCCTCCATCTTGATGAGCTCAAAGTCAACATCTTTTCTCTCCATGTCAGCCACGGTGAGAATAGCATTGACTGCGATCTCTGCCATCTGCCTGTGGCACCGGTTGATGCTGAATTATGGGGGGGGGGGGGGGGGGGGGGGGGGAATAAAAAAGCTTAGCAGACCAGCCCCCCAGAAAGCATCAATTCATAAAGCATAAACATAACCGAGTTGCGTAGGAGACTCACACTTTAGATCCCAGTGTTGTCATGGCGGTCTGAATGAGGGGTTCTGTGTTATTGGGATCATACGGAAAGGTTTCTGCGATTTTGTTGAGCTGCTCAATCGCAATACGTGCGGCCTGATCGTAACCGTCGGAGACCCTGATGGGGTGGATTCCGCGGTCCAGGAGCTGCTCAGCTTGTTCAAGAAGAGCCCCAGCCAATACTGGCAAGACAAGAAATTAATGAGTGGAACAGACGACAAAATCATGATGATGTCATTACGATAGTTTATTTACTTTGTAGATTTCTTCATGAATCTTTTAAAAATGGAACAAGACGATTGACAATACAATGCTACATTCATGGCGGCCACAATACATGTTTGTGTTTTAAAAATACATTAACTGTACATTTAAATGCATTGCAAAGTGAACAATGGTCAATATAGAGTGCCAAATAATCCTACCATACATGTTTTTTGGCATGTGGGAGGAAACCGTAGTACCCTATTGTGAGGCGGACGTGCTAAACAGTCACCCACCATGCAGCCCACTAAGATTTCATCTACACAAAAAGGGGGATCTCATTTTGCTTTTACATACCAACAACTCCAGTAGTTCCATCCCCAATCTCATCATCTTGGGACTTGGACAACTCCACCATAAGTTTTGCAATCTGATGGTCAACATCCATCATGCTGAGAATAGTGGCTCCATCATTGGTGACAGTCACTTCTCCATCTTTGTCAACCATCATCTTGTCCAATCCTGGTCACGAAAATCAATAATTATATTTGATAGGGGGATTCTATTAAGCTGTGTCCCCAAAAACCAGTCGTTACTATTACATTTTCTTTGTGACTTGCAACAATTATACACACCGTTCGGTCCCAATGATGTCCTCAGCGTTGACGCAACTGCCTTGGCTGCCATAATATGAGACTGCAAACACAACAATGAGCAGGTTAATGGGTTATTTAAATTCGGTATACTTGGCAAAGTCTATTAGTAAATTTAGATGCAATTCGGAAATCATTAGCATCAATAGCGACAGAGGCCACAAGCCTATCCAGCAACACCCACCAACCGACCGCCCCGAGCAAGCACATGGGCCTTATGTTAGCATGGTGGCCAGAAAACAGACCCGTTAGCCTTTTACAAATGCGATCACGTTGCCGCTATCGCATTAATCTTACCCAGGCTGTTTAAAACCTTAACATTAGTGCATTTCACCGATAGCCGCAGAATGTCAGGTCGATCTGGTGATCATAAAACTGCTAGGAAATCGGTAACATGCGAGTAAACGTGCCAGACCAAGCCCCGCTAGCTCGCCCCATTGTACCTTCAGTGCGTCAATGCCCGTTAGCCTTGTCTTCTTATCCTGGTCTTTAATGATGATGAATGGCCTCCCATATTCATCGAAGGCAAGCGTGCCCAACGTTGACATGTTGACGGAGAAATTGGGGTACCAATTTGACTTTTCCCGGATAAAATGATGAGTTTGAGAGATGAAAATCTGGAGAGTTGGGGAGGTCCAAGCCGCACGGATCTGCCGGCGACTTCTGGAAGACTCCACGAGCGTTAAGGGCGGGACCAAGTGGAAATATTTAACTTTTACAGATGCACGTCATCTCACACTGGTAGATGGTAAGCATTATGTATATGCTTAAATGCGATACTCAGAAGGATTAAGTATTCAAAATTGTATTTAAAATGGTTGTAATAAAAACAAACGTGCGTTTTTGTGGTGGGCTCTTCCGATCACGCTAGATCTCGCCGTGTACCAAGATTCTCGCGTGAATTAAACCATTGGGTAAAGAGAAAGGGTTGCGAGACGGCCGGTTTGGTTGGCTCTCCTTGCCTATTTGTAAGGTATACTGCATTTCTTTCAACATTAGCTTTATGTGATTCTGTTAGCATGCAATTGGGTCAATTCAATCTTTGCGATCGCCACTTAATGCATTTGTTTTCCGTTTTGGAACCTACTTCTAGAGTCCATGTGTGAAGCTGTCAAGTATGACGTAACATCCGGATAGTGTCAGGCGAGTGTTCGTTTTCTGAGCTTTTACTGAGGAGGACATTGCCGACTTGACTTCTCATCTCATCTGTTGAAGTTAGACTGAGAGAAAAGTACTGAGATATTTTTTCCCTCAAGCGACATTGCCCCGCTACACAATTTCATTAGTATGCCTTGCTCAATGTAAAGACATGTGTTTTCCTCCAGAATGCCCATTGAAATCAAGCTTCGGTTTGTGGTTCTTTATGGGTCTCAAAAGGGTCAAGCCCAGTCAATAGCAGAGGGGATAGCTGAACAGGCAGACGAGCACGGTTTCCTTGCTGAGCTCAGCTGCTTGAACCAGAAAGATAAGGTAGCAATTTCATGCTGCTGAAATGCCATCATGCATCAAATGCAGTGATCTCCAACATGCTTGTTTCTGCTTGATGGAAGCACTCATTTCTGGTACATTAAAATGACATGTTATAGTACAATCTGGAGAAAGAGAAGTCCCCGGTGGTCTTTATTGTGTCTACGACTGGAGATGGGGAGCCACCAGATAATGCCCTGCAATTTGTGAAGCACATCAAGAAGAAGACACTCTCCTCTGACCACTACAAACACCTTTACTATGCACTTTTAGGTACACGAACCTTGATCTGCAGTGTCTTTTGTTTAAATCATGGAATTGTTGAGTCCACTGTATTGATTTCTTATTTGCTCTGTCTGTGCCTCCAGCTTTAGGAGACACCAATTATGAAAACTTCTGCAACTGTGGCAAGACAATTGAGCGGCGTCTACAGGAACTTGGAGCCCAAAAATTCTATGCAACAGGATATGCAGATGACGGTACAGGGTAAGTTATCCAAAGCAATGCGAAAAACATCTAAGACTGCCGTTTTCCAAGTGTAGGGCAGTGAGGCAAATTCATTTACATATGTTTTATATTGTTAAACAACACTAAGTGGTTTGATTATGTGGTGGACGGAGTTGCTTCACTGGCCATTTTGGAACATCAGAACTTTCATTTTTAAATATGGTACTTATCGTACTCACCCTGACATTTTACCATCCAACCTGTTTAAATTCTAACTCTAAAGTAGTCCTAATAAATGCACTACAGTAATATAAATATATCTCGCAAGGCCTTTGTGAAATGTATATCAACTTTTTTTATGGGTTCCAACAGAAAAATAATTCATTACTACCATACACAACTTGTCATCATAGCCTTACTATGGATATGCTTTATTTGTCCTTGTAAACAGTTTTTTTTTCATTTTATGGAGTGTTCTCACTCCCTACAGGAACTAAAAATCCATTCATTTAGCAAACAAGATGCATCTGAAGTTAGATGTGATTTTTTTCCCCCTCCGTTCAGTCGTTTGGTACATCCCCTAATGCATCACTTAATTATGCAGGTGTAATGTACTTCTTTGTTCCCAAGGTTGGAGGTAGTTGTGGACCCTTGGCTTGAAGGACTGTGGAAAGCTATCAAAGCAGCGTTATCGAATATGGCTTCTGATTGGAGCGTTCAAGAGGATTTAGAGATGACTTTTCCAGATTCGTCGATACCACATGTCCAACTCAACCTGCTAAGCCTCACTGACCTTCAGTCTCCTAATTTGGACCCCAAATTTGCATCTCCGGGTTCATCTTCTTCCACGCAGCCGATGCCCACATCTGTTGAAGGTGTCAGTTTAACCACGCCATCAGCAGAGACACAACACACAGATCCTGGAACGTCCAATGCACCTTCACTATCGCACTCAGTGACTCCGCTGTCCGATTTGTCTCTAAATGTTCCAAGTCTACCTCTACCTTTTCTAGACGTGCGTCTTCAGGAAGTAGACACTGTGGACAAGGTGAGGATTCTTTTTCTCTCTCCTTCTTGTTATCATTAGACTGAAAGTTTTCTAATGATACCTGTCTATTTGTGCATTTTTTTTTTTTAATGACCACCTATTTCTTTCAGAATTTTGGGCCCTTGAACGTTGAAACTATCAATGAGGTTCCTATATCCCGTGCGGTTTGTTTAACAACAGGGGAGTCAGTCAAGACTGCCATCCTTCTTGAACTTGACATCACTGTAAGATTTATAAAATGTTCTCTTTTGTTGCATTCCTCAATGAATTCACTTAAAAAAACGTTGCTCTGTAAATGTTTTCTTCCTCTGAAGGCGTACCCCATGTTGACCTATCAACCTGGGGATTCGTTTGATGTTTTCTGCCCAAATCGAGCCTCTGAGGTCAAGCAACTGCTTCAAAGATTGGGTCTTGAGGATCAGAAGAATCATCATGTCCAAGTTTCTTTACTCAAAGACACAAAGAAAAAAGGTCAGCATACACCTGACAATTATTTGTAGCATATATTGAGAAGCACTGTGTTGAAATGGCCAAGCAAGAACATGTGACACAAGCAGGATATCTTTTATGTTACCGGTAAATAATCATGCAGCAAAAAATGTGGGGTTACATTTCCTGACAGCTGTGATGTAAATTAATTTTTTTCTCATGCTGGGTCACAGGTGCTCAGGTACCCTCCTACATCCCTCAGAACATTTCTTTACTGTACCTGCTCACATGGTGTCTGGAGATTAGAAGTGTTCCAAAGAAGGTATGTACAAACATTAAAAATTCAGTTCACGTTATTTTATTCTATTTTATTTATTTTTATTTTTTTTTTAACGAAATGCACTAAGGAGTGGCAACCAAATTTTGTTGTATGCTATACAATGACAATAAAGGTGATTCTGATTCACTTTCAAAAGTTCTCAAGCTCAGGTAGATAAATACGGCCTACTTAATGGTAAGCGCAGACAAACATTCTTAAACCTTGTGAAAATTATTTTTTCACCGAGGGATGCTCCACTTTCTTCAATGAGTAGATTGCATTTGGAAGTAGATACACACAGCATGCGGTTTTATGTTTAAATTATTCTGTAGAGAGTGACATGCGTTTTGCCATGATAAAAAAAAAACCCAAAAGGAATCTTTTTGCCAGAAGATATGAAAAATACATTTTATTAACATTTGTCATAAATCTCAATGCAGGGTTTCTGTGCGCGCAGACAATTTCGCTTACATTTTATCAAATTCACACACCCCAAGTGCACCATAAATCTAAAGGCAAATGTTTTATTTTACACCACCGTCGGTGTAAAGCTGGGTCTCATCTTTTTAATAAAGCCTCTTCATGCTTTTAATTTAATCTGCACAGTAAAAACAAAAAGGCAGCAGAACCATTTAATGATGTTCAACCTTGCTATCATATCAGACAAATGCCAAAATGTTTGTATTAAGCAACTCCGAGATGTTTAACATTTATTACAACGCTATTAAAAAAAAAAAAAAAAACAAAAAAACGAAACACTTTTCTGGCAAGTTTTTCCATGTGACTTTCAGCCATGTTTCCTTTGTCAGGCCTTGTTGCGAGCAGTGGCTGAGCATACAGCAGACTGTGTGCAGAAGAGGAGGTTACAGGAGCTTTGTAGCAAACAAGGCACCGCAGACTACAACCAGTTTGTGAGAGAGTCCAGCCTCAGTGTTTTGGAGCTTCTCGCTGCCTTCCCTTCCTGCCTACCTCCCCTCAGCCTCTTTGTAGGTCAGATCATTTTCTTTTCTCTTAGTTATTTAGCAAAGAGGAGTTCTTGGTGTTGACGAGGCACCATCATGTCAAGGCTTTCGTGGTTGAGTATTTATTATTGTTATTTTTTTGCTCGAGCCATATTAATTATATAGGCTAAAAATAACCCGGTAATTACTCCACAGATACAAAAATCATATTCGGTTCTCATTGGTCCGTGCGCCATCCCTCCACTAATTTTTGTTCAACAACAAACATCAATGAAAATATACCATCTTGGGAGAAAGAAAACCCCGAAACAAAATAAAGCAATGATGTGTGGCTGGGATTTAGTTTCACTTTTCCACAAGTCAAGAGGGTTGCAACTTTCATCCAGAAAGCGGCACTGTTGCTCCAGTAAAGCAAGCTACTTTTTTTTTTTTTTTTTTGACATACTACTACACAACTGAGTTCTTCTCAGTGGGGCAACGTTCCTGTCCTTGTGCTGTCTCAGTTTTCCTCTGCAAAAGCAAGTTAGACATTTTTGTCATTTTCCTCTGTTAATGCATTTAATAAATGTCGCTTTCAATCATGCTGTCTTACACGTGTCCCTGATTAGAAATTAATTCTCCTCATTCATTAGCCACGCGGTATAGTTCGGTAGACCAAATTTTGATCCGACAGTGAAATGTGTTCGTGACGGCTTGGCATAAAAGTTATCAGCTACTTTTGGCTTCCGTGCGCGTCCTCCTGCCATCCCCCCGCCCCCAGCAGTGATCAGATGCAGAAATCATGCATCATGATGTGAGAAAGTGGGAAGCTGGAGGCTTCCCCGAGCAACAGATGTTGATTGGATTGAGCAGAGGGTCCGAGGTTTGGACAAGTGCAGAGGTGCTCTTGGAGCAGAGGTTAATGGTGAAGCCTTATTCAGCGCGCAGCGTTATCCGCCCCTCTGTGTTCATTAGACTGCAAGATCAGGGTTTATACTTATTCTTTGACAGTAACTATAAATAATGAGGTGAGCATTCAAGAGCGCATAAGACTACAGATACGCTTTCTCTTATTATATTATCCTATTTTTTTTACTCCCCCATATATGAAAAGGTCGTAGCGGACTGCTGTCTGGAAGCATCTTTTTCAGTCTAATTTATCGCAGGGCACAAAGGTAGTAGTCATACCAGGTTGAACACAAATTATTTCTTGACCCTGTGTAACCACACAGGCTTGTTCCTCAGTCCACAAAAACATGAACATTGAGAATGAAGTTCCTTCGCTGCCACTCACTGCTTGCTTGATATTCATCATCAATCTGACGAAAAGCATTTGAAAGGCTGCTCATTGAATATCTGTGAACTTGCAAGGCCTCTCTTCCAAAATGAACTAAAAGTGTGTTGTATTAAAAAGTAAGGGCGATTCTTTGAAATGTGCAACAACCTTTCCCATTCATCTGCTGGCGAGGAAACTATTCATGCATAAATATTTGACCTTATTTCTCTACCTTGTTTTTTACTTTTTTCCAACTTAGTTGAATGGAAAGATGGTAAAGACACTGGGATGAAAATGAGGATTTTTGCGAGACTTTTGCACTTTCATTTCTTTTTTTTTTAGATAAATTAAAAATGTTGCTCTCTCAAGTAAGAATCAGGTGCATGTTTCATAAGCTGCTTACTGAGGGGTGAGACGATCAGTTCCAAAAGGAGTCATCACTTACCAAACTTACGGTCATGACTGCGGTGATCTTGAGTTCTGATCCCAAATCCCCAAATCAAAATAAGCATTGCTAGGCCTCGGTGGAGTCTGGAAAAACAAAACAAACAAAAAAAAAAAGTTATTTGACATAGCTACATTTTTTTTCTGACACTGCTATCAATAATACAGTACATGACTCTTTTGGACAAAATTTAGATAGAAGCAGCATGGAGTTACCCACAATTTGATGGAGGACAAATCCAAATAAGGTTTAATGAGCATAGAGATGTTTTAATAAAGCACAGCAATGTTTTTGCGGACTACATCTAATAGATTGTGTTCCATATTTAGTTTTGTGCATGCCATTCAATTGATACGACTCTAAAGTCAACCCGCTGAGCTTCCTCCCAAAACGCCGTGATTTATGAGCGGGCGTTAGGCTAAGAGTGCGAGCAGATTTTGTCCAGCTGTTGGTCTTTCCGAACGACTTAGCTGAATCAAGTATTTTTGCTGGGCCTCAGCTGCTTTGGCTTTGCTCTTCAGGGTTCATCAATTATATACTTTCAAGTTTCAGGTGATCCAATTCACTTCTTTTTGCCCCATCGAAACGGCGGCAGTGCGGCAGTGGCATATCCTCTTGCTCCAGGCGGAAGCGCTGCTCCTACGTTTTCTCGATTCCAGCCACCCACCATTTGCCAATGCAAGTGTGCACTGCTGATGACCAAAAAAAGGGCACCTTCATGGTTGACTTTGCAATAAGGTTTGCATAAGCAATCTGCTTCCCACTGGCTTCACATCTGGCCGCTTGGGATTCAAACTCCCCGACTTTGTCAATTTAACAAACGGAGCAGCAGCTTGTCCGCAAAGCACAGTGAAATTTGGGTGAGGGTAACTGAAAATCGACGAGCGTTTCGATCACAATGACTTTCTATCCATGTTTTATCACAACAGGATGATTGACAGCTTTTTGTTTTTCTTTTTTTTTTTTTTAGAGCATCTGCCCAAGCTGCAGCCAAGGCCTTATTCAGCTGCCAGGTAAGGAGAGCAAAAAGAGCGCGCCTTTCACAGCGATGACATCATTTGGTCACATTACCATGGCCTCACGATGATAAATGTCTGTCGTATTCTTATTTCAACCTTAATATACGTACTCTCATTTCCTCTCTGCACAATGACGAGTAAAAATCGTTTCAGAACAGCAATAGGCAATTGAAAGGAAGAAAATCCCAAATTGGCATTGACAGTAATTATTAGTCGTGCTTCAATACATAATTTGCAGTGAAACTGACAAATGTCTTGATTCAGAAACACCCTTTTGTTCTAGTAATGCTTGAATGAAGGAGGACCATCATGACTGTGAATTTTGTGAAGCCATATAAATGTTTAACCACCTCCGCATACTGCATACACAGCGAACAACAAATAGACGGAGAACGAATTTTGACATCAGAAGTCAAAATTGATGGAAAGACTTGAACCTTCGCTCGAGAAGAATAATATTTTGGGTCACCTTCTTGCACCTGTCTGCTCTGTAGTCCATGTTAAGTGCGCAGATGTGATTCCCTAATGAACTTTGTGATGGGAGAATTTCGAACAAAACAAATGGACTATTGCGAGTCTTTTATTTAAATCGGTGTTCCATCTTTTTGCCTCACTTAGCCGGTCATCGATTTGCTCTTGCTGTTTAGCTCGTACCCATTAGGTTTTACTTTAAAGCTCACAAGGAACATGAGCGTCAAAGACAAGGTCAGAACTTTTCAGCTGCTCTCCTACTCGCTTTGCTGCTTCCTCAATTGTGAAAAGAGACGGCGACTGTAGTTTATCAGATAGTGCAGACTCGAGACATTAGAGGCTTGCATTATTGATGCCAGAGTCAAAAGAGGTCTCCGCTGGCAAACAGGAAGGAAGGAAGGAGAAGAAATGGACAGGTGCAGGGGCCTTCAGGGAAGACGGACATTTTTGTTGAATTGAGGAGCAGTGTCAGTCATTGTTTACCTACATGTGCCTCGGATTGGCTGTGACCAGTCCAGGGTGTACCCTGCCTCTTGCCCATGCCCGCTGGGATAAACTCCAGCTCTCCTATGACCCTCACGAGGACAAGCGGAATAGAAAAAAAAATTGATGGATAGAACAAGGGTGCAATTTCTGGCCTGGCTTGTTTTAATAAACAACTGTTGATACCCTTTTCGTGCAATTTTCAATAAAAAACACTTGCTTCTCACATTTATGTCCATCGTCTCTCGAACTCGCAGCTCCTGCCTTCGGCACCCAGGCAAGCTGAATTTTGTCCTCAGCGTCGTCGAGTTACCAACATGCTTAGGTCGTCCTGTTGGGAGGCGGGGCTTGTGTACTGGTTGGCTCTTTGACCTCGTCACCCCTCTCCTGGTTCTCCCAGGGAAGGCTGAATCGCAGCGTTGCCTTGCCTTGCCGCAGGTGAGTGGAAAGCTGAAAGGATAGAGGGAAAATTGAAATAAAGCAACCATTGTTTCGAGACTTGAGAAGCTGCAAAGTGACCATCTGTTGTCTCGACATTTATATATTTTTTTTCCCCCCAGAATGTCTTGATGTGTTATTCTCTCTGAAGTTTAATTTAAATCCAGAATGTCGTCTGCAAGGAGCAAAGGGCCAAATTCTCCCATTAGTCCCCGAGTCTTTTTTAGATGTGCTTGGACTTGTACTCTTTTCATCTGAAAATCTGGTCCCACCAGAAAAGTGCACAGGTGCATGCCTGTTCCCCGCTTACGCAGATGGGATGATTTGTCACAAAGAGACTAAAAATAAACAAAACAAGTGATAATAGAGGAGGATTTTTGCCTTGGTATAGGTGTGCGCTCTGTCAATGCAGTTAACACCCCATTTGACTTCTTTTCTTTGAGACTCCACCGATTGCCCGGGTTTGGGGTCGATGAAAATCAAACAGAATTTGAATTAAAGCGACTCAATCCTCTCTATCACACCCTGTGGATTTTAGTTGCAGCTCATACGTTTTCTCATTAGCCCGTCTTCGAATGTTAAGTAGATCAATTAATAGATTGGGAGGCCCAGAGTGGCTCCTCAGCAGCGTTCTGATTACTTGCATTATTTAGAATGCGCACTAATGTTCTGTGACCCTCACACCTCAGATCCATGTGAGTTTGAGACCCAACCACTCCTTTCGACAGCCATCCGACACATCAGTGCCTCTCATAATGGTCGGACCTGGTACGGGTGTCGCGCCCTTCATTGGCTTCCTCCAGCAAAGGTGAACTAATTTATTTGCATGCATTCTCGTCTACTTTATGCTGGCGTTGTGTAGAGATTGTTGCTCTGACCTTTTCCAGACCTGTTCTAGATATTCATAAATGTACACGGCGTGCAGTGTTTAGGGTTATTTCATCACTGCACATTTCCAGCTAATTTGCCCTGACGGTTGAATGAGGGCCCCCCCCCTCAAGGTTCATAATAATTCTAAACGCCGAGTGCTGCTGTCCTCCCAGCGCTCGTTTTAGCCATTGCATCGAGAATAAATGAGGTCCCTTAGAATGGACACATTCACACACGCTGTGCATAATTTGGTGTATGATGAGCAGCTAGGAGTCAGAGCAGCTCGTGGATGCCTATCGATTTAAACATAAAAAAATAGTGAAAGCCGTGGAGTAAATGCTGATGTGTAGGTTTTTTTTTTTTTAATGTGCAGCTTGTCTAATTTAAACTTTAATTACAGGAATATTCAGATGTGACACTTTGTGAAAATTTGCAGAGCTCTTGAAATGATGGTTAGGCCCAGATTGCAAGATGACCTGTCATGAAGAGTTAATGAGACTGTCTGAAGCTTCTCTTACCCGGGCTGATAGATGTGCGTTGAACCGAGCCCATGTCTCCCTGGACTTGTCAGGAAGCAGCGCAAACCTTTTTAGTGTGACTGACACGTTGAAGTCACGGGTGACTTTGCGCCGATGAGGTGGTGCCCCAGTCAGCTCCAATTGTCTCTAATCCACCTGGACAGCCGACCCGCGTTGAAGGGTAGGGTGCGTTGGCAGTCACTGTAGTGAAATCCTTGCAGCAGATCAATGGCAGAAATCTGACATGTCACATGAGCGAGGGACATTGATAGAAATGTCCTTGATCAGAGATTGTGAAATAACGATAAACAGTTTTACGGTGGCCAATACTTGAGAAAGTGCTTGAGATCTGATTCTTATTTTTGTTCTAAAAATAAATATGGGCGAAAAAGAATTAAGTGCCTGTGTAAAGGGAAAAAAAAAAAGCAGGGCGACAATGCACACAGGCTGTAGAGCCGACAACTCCGAGCTAAATATCTTTAAATTCAAATGTGCAAGTCAGCTTTTTGAGTACCATCTTGCTCATTGTTGTTGAGAAATATGATTACTTCAATATGACTTCACGGTTTTCAACAATCATTTGTAACAGCAACAAAACCATGCCGGAGTTCGAGGCCAACCGATTGAAAGATGATCGTAAATGGCTTTGGGGCGTGGCACATTCTGAACTGGAGAAGAGGCACTTTTCATTTGCTTACTGTTATGTGGCAAAAAAAAAAGCAGGCCCTGTGGAAAAAGAATAAAAAGCCGTTCAGCCAGGAAGGAGATTTTCCCATTTGAGTTCAGTAGAACACAACTCACATGCATGAATGCTGCCCGGCTCAGTGACTTCCTCAATCCCTTTTTCAAAGCTGAGCTGCAAGCCAATCAGGTCAGAGCTGCAATTGGCCATTCCCAGGTGGTTGCAATTACCTTCCCTGAAACAAGAAGTGTTCAACAGAACACATTAAGCATCACACAATGACCACGGCAACAGTTTTGGATGGATGTGCACCTTTCTCCCCGTCCAAAATCCACAAAATAATAATTGTTAATATATGTCATTTGGCATGATGACACGAGGTTCGACTCTCTTTGTCGGGCACTGCTTATTCATGAGCCAAATAGAGCAAAGGAACAAAACATGATCTGTCAACATTGCCAAACAATTTGAAATATCAAAATGATCATTTCCACGTTATTGATGCACATCTGTTTGTTGGACCAAAAGCAATATTCAAATCATGACTCGTCAGGTTTTATGTTTTAAATACAGACACCGGAACCCCGAGGCAAGATTCCTCCTCACAAGGCTTTTGTTCCGGTTCATATTTTTGATTTGTTTTCCTTCGCCATTGGAGCTTAAACCTCCCATATACAGAATTCAGCATGCCTCCTGTCTGATCACCCCTTCCCGTCTCCTCCTCTGCGTCACGTCCTGCTGTCTGCATGTAGCGCAGGTGGCTTGTGTCAACCTGTCCTGGTGTGAAGCAGAGTTGTTCCAAACACGACCTCGCCCATTGACGTCTACTCCGAGATAACAATCACCAGGGGGCCGCGCTATCTGCCTCTGGGCCTGAAAAGCATCCCGCAATCATGCCGAGATCCTTCCATCGCTACTCTTAATGCTAATCGATGCTTGTTTGTAAAAATAAATCTTTGAATTCAGATTGCGACTGGAAGAAGCCTCTCCAAAAGGTCACAGACACACTCGGTGGTGCCATTTTTTTTTTAAACAAGCTCCCCAGCTTATTTGTCTGGCATTGATCTTTGCACAAGATTCTATGTCGAATCATGTGATGTCTGTTTGGGTTTTTTTCCTGCTCACAGCAGTGAGGGAAGTGAAATAAATATAACACTGAGCTGTCACCAGCCATATCCTTGACGACGTCAAAGAGAAAGCTGATGCCAAAGGCTAAACTTGACAAGGATGACAACGAGCCAATGCTTTAGGATGCAGGACCCAATGCACTGAACAAAAAAACAAAACAAAACAAACAAACCTAGCGAAGCCGTGAAAGATGCACCGTGTTATCGCGAGGGATTGCTGTAATCAGTTAATTTGATGACCTTTGAAGAAATGTGCCAATTTTGGAATTGATTGTGAATTAATCACAGTCAGAAGGGATCGAGAAAAGTGAAGCGCGCGACTTGCAACCAGTACAGATTCTGTTGATTCAGTGTCAGGTGGTGCTTCATGCACAACTCCTCCATGTTTCTCCTCAATACATCACGCCGTGTCCCATCCCACGAGAGAATAATTATTTTACCCATACGACGGCTGTACATCGGCAGTCATTTCCAGGGCATATGTAGAGACACAGACATTGAATCCGAATGGAGCCCACGCCGCCTGCTCGGAAGTCAGGCAAGTCAACCGCGACCCCATCAGTCACCTCGCGAAATGCACCGTACAAGATAATTGGGATGTTTACAGAGTCCTAACCCTCGGCCCTCACCTCACTAAATGGCGCACTTCTAGTACTGACCAAATGGAGGGCTCCTCTCGCTGCTCTCCTGATAGGATCGTGTTGCACGCTGTTCAGAGTCTGCCGATGCAATGATATCATTTGTATTCAGGGAAAGGCGCCGACGTGGCCTGTCCAGAATGGAACCCAGGTTTTTTTCATATCGGTATTGATCCCTTCAGGGCAGGCGGCGAGCGGAGACGAACGCACTAAAATGAGTTTACTTGAGGCTGTTGGCGAGACAGAACGATCATGCCCGGGATGCAAAATGGAAGGAATTAGAGGCCAGGCGCCTCCATTCCCAGATCCAACATGATGGACACAAAAAAGAAAGACATGTCTCTTTGGCCGAGGCCTACCATGCGCTTGTATATTAATCTTGGTCATGATTACACTACTTGAAAAGCAAAGATTTTGTTTTTTTTTTTTGGGGGGGGGGTAAAGGGGGTTGTACTTTATGTAAAAAGTTTAGTCCCGTTGCATCAGAGTCTTCAGCAACCATGAAGTTTATTTCAATCAATATTGGGGTGGAAGTTATACAGTACTTTCTCAGCTTTCTCACTACGTGACAGTGAACCTGAGAGAGAAGGAGAGACTCTGCTCACAAATTTTTGTTTCCGACCCTGGCATACTTGATAGACAGCTCCTTCGCTTTTCTTGCCTGTCTCCTCTTTGTGCATTTCATCATGCTGTCAGGGGAGAAATACACTCACCTGAATCCTTCGCTAAATGTAAAAGCAATCTTGTTTGTTCACTGTTCCTAAACGCGTGTAGATTATATATACAGTATGGTCCTTGTGAGCAGTCCAGTGAAAGTGGACTCAAAGAAGAAAGATTACTGGTATTTGAACGTTGTGCACAATATCTATTTTGTCCTTTGCTTGAAGTGGTAACACGTTTGACATGTGCACCCAAAAACATGATGTCATAATGTGATCGTGAACCCGCACGCAAGCGGGAGCTTGTTCAAATGTTGTTGTTGCCCCCCCCCCCTTTCATCTGATGTTTATAATTACTAGACACTCTACGATGAACGCATTCAAATTTCCAAACACCCTAACTGGTTCATCAGCGACTAAATTATAGCATTCATTTATATGCATTGTGCGGCAGACCATCAAGGAGTCAGCTGCTTCATTCTGTGTAGAGCACATGCAGAGAAGGATTCGGTCTTGGTAAATTGTGAAGGGTGCCTACGGATACCCGGCATTTCCCAAAAGAGATTCTAGAAAGAGCTCAAAATAATCATGTGGCTGTTGATATCTTAATTTGATCTTGATCATTGAAAGAGATAGCGAGGAGATCCAAGTCAAACACACTTGTCTGGTTTTGTCATGCCTCTGCAGTTTTTTTTTTTTTTTTTTTTTGTGAATGAAAGAAACCTTTGTGGTTATTATTAGCCGTACCTGATTGTGTTCTACACAACCATCAAGCCAATTTTCCTCAATAAGGACGCAGTGACGTGAAAGCCATCTCAGGTAACTTTGTGTGAGAGATGAGGTACAGCCTGAATAAATTGTGAGTCAATCACGAGGCAGAGACAGACAAAAATCATTTACAATCACACCTATGGACAATTTAGAGTCTTTAATTAGTTGAACGTGCATATCTTTTGTAGTGTGGGACAAACCCGAAAAAATCTCATCCAATCACGTGGAGAACATGCAAACTTTTTGGACCTTGCATATTCAGTCAAGTGTCTTTACATTCTTGACGGGTCTACAACCACAACGGTTATAATAATGAGCCGTGTGAAGAGCAGGGCATTCGTTTTGCAATACCGTTAACATTATACTGGCCTGCGTGTTATGAGTTTATTGCAAATCTTATGTGGGAGTCAACAGATTCAGTGATTGAAGAGGGGCTCAGTTAAAAGAAAATAAATGAGAGGATTGGTAACACACACACACACACACACACACACACACATACAGAGAGTAATTAAATTGGGTTTATGATACAGTATTCATAAAGTATAGTAATTAAAAATTAGTAATATGAGGCCTAAACATTTTCATTTTGCTGTTGAGGGTGGGAAAAAAACCACAGTAATTGGCCCCATCAATTTGTGCCTCCGGTAATTGGAGCTTTCAGCTTGAAGAAACAATGCAAAAATAGGACGCGGGTCAGATTGTCTTTGTGATGTATTCCACTTTCGGCTGGTGGTGGCCGCTCTCGCCGCTCACCTCCTGCATCTGCAGGAACAGATAATGCGCTTTTGAGATTCTGCTGATGGCATCATGAAAAGGTTGAGGGGGGGTCAACATTTTCTCTCTCTCTTTTTTTAATCCAGGAGAGGAGTTGGCACCTTTCGACCAGGTGTTGCATTGGGGAGGGAGGGAGGTGAGAGCAACAGAGCCGCTTTGTGTCGCTCTCTTGCCTCCACCTACTAAAAATTCTTTTTGCAGACTTCACACCCTCAAGAAGAATCCATGAAAAGTTCCACTTTCTGTGCAATCCGTCACCGTTGCACACGCACACACACACCGTATGATATTTATTGTTTTCGCCCCGTTTATAGTGATGGAATGAATCCCCCTCGAGTCACACGCATAACGTCCTTGCAACGGTCGTTTCTGTGCATAAAGCAATTGCCGTCCCTGCAGTTGTCGCTTAAACTGTGTCACCGCTCTTCTTTTAACCTCTGCTTCCGGAATGGATTTTCTCTCGCCCATCTGCTGTCTCTCTTTTTGTGAATGAAGATTGACCGATAGCGGTCCCTATTTGAAATTTCAGAGAAAAGGAGAGGCAGCGGAATCCTGATGCGCTGTTCGGTGAGACCTGGTTGTTTTTTGGTTGCCGCTACAGAGACCGAGACTACCTGTTCAGGTAAGCTTGGTGCGAGTCTCTGTTAACTGCTTGTTTACATAGTCTGAGTGTATGGAAATTGCATTTTCACGTACTTTGCCTAACCCTTTGTTCGTCCCCTATTTTGCGACACTATGCTACTCTTCACCTTGTCAGAAGGACACTCCGAGTATTCATGGGCACTCAAGCTCGCAATTATTTCCTTGTATAATCATCTGTTTGGTGAAAATTGTTTCCTTTCGGGTTGATTGCAGGCTGTCTGTGTGTCCAGCTGTCTTAATATGAGTTTCCACAATTCATTTTCAGTTTTGTTTTGGTAAAAATATTTTACGGTATTTCGATCGGATTGGGTGCGGTATATCCAAAATTGGACATGGGGAAATATAGTGCTCCTTCCCTTCAATATGTTGTGCTATCATACTGAGCCCACATCACCTATTGCTCATGCTCACCTATTTGTGAATAAGAATTCTCAAAATTATGCAAAGATGGAAATATGATGCAACAAACCTTTCATTTTTCCTCACTACTCTGGCTCTTTTGCGTGTTTTGTTTTGTTTTTTTTCATGTCCGCGCATTGATTGGTCATCGTCCAAGCATCAACGTTTGCTCAGCTCCGGTGCACTGATCAAGCTGTTCTGCAGGATTAATAGTGTGAATGGATTAGCTGCCTTAATCACAAGAATAGATCACAGGCACGGTGATTTGATCCCCTTTTGTTTTCCCGTCTATTAGGTCGGTATCGCCAAACACAGAGGTAGTGTTTGCCCACCATGTGGACCTCTCTGAAGAGAACCGGCATTGTTGACCAAAGCCATCAGTCTGATCTGTGTGATGCACCCATGAGTTCTACTCCATTTAAAAAGGCTTACTAGAATCACAACAGCCCGTTTAGCAAAAGATAACGAGCTCCTGCACGGGAGACGATATCCCTTTTGCATTGAATTCGAAAGTCAGGTCCTCAAATCTTGGCACATTGATACTATTCTCATCTTTTTCGATCACCTCCAACACCACAATGCATTTGAAATTAAATGCGATTTCACTGCAGACTTTCAGCTTTAATTTGAGGGTAGTTACATCCAAATTAGGTGAATGGTGTAGGAATTCCAATGATTTGTTGATACAGTATGCCTCCCACTGTTTTAGGGACCGTTCACCTGATTTAAAGGAAAACTAACTAAAATTAAAGCGCATAGTGGTGGTTTTTAGAGTCAAAAAGATGTGAATTGTCTCACTGTCCCAATTTATAAACCTGACCCTGTGTTTTATCTTCATACATTCAGGGTTGCATGCATATTATTTTAAAATCTTCCTCACTGTGGGAGTGAAATGAATTTAGGGTCACCCACAATGTTGTTTAAAAATGGATTTGCCGGTTGTCAGGTCCTATTAAACCAATCACAAGCCTGAAAAAGAATCACATTCGGATGCAAAATAGTCCAAAGTAAGATTTTCATTGAAATGTTCTTCAGTTCCACAACTGGCCATGTTGAGAATGAATTGTGCAAAGCGGACATACCGATGAAGCAACCGCAAAGCCCAACTGGTGTCCATACGCTGTCTCGCGATAGAAACACACTCAGCGCTAGCTGACAGCACCTTCTTGGTCACTCTCTTACGTGCCTTGCACATCCTAAGTAGTTTAACTATATTTTCGTTTCATTAAACATGTCTTCACACACTTAAAAATATTTTTTAAAATGTTTTTTTATGATGCCGAAAGTTTGGAGCAAAGAAATTGAGGCCACCCAAATAGGGTGTCCTCATTCATCGGCAACCACTGAGCTTTTGATTTAGCGCACAGCTTGTATGTGAACATAAGGCCCACGTGTGTCGAAAGATGTCGTTCGCCCTGCTGAGCTCACCTTTGTCGCGATACATAAATTTGAGGCCGTGTGTCGGAATTAAGCACGGTAACGCCATGGCATCGCCGTGGCAACCACAAGCCCGCCAAGTCGAATCATACACCTGCTTGACATTTGTAAGCTATTTCAGCCACAGCTGTGCGCTCACACTTGAGCTGGATTTTGAAATGCTTGAGTGTTAAACACCGTCCAACATAAAAGATGAATCATTTCCTTCTAGTATTGTGCGCTTTAAATAAGTCACTGGTTTACCTGAGGCGCACACGTCGGCTCACAATCTCCGTTTCCCCTGAGAGCGTTTTTGCTCACTGACCATCTTCCTCCTCAGGCCCCGCAGATAGCGAGGCAGAGGCGAGAAGTTGGCAAGCTCACCTCAGCCGACAGGGAGCGAGGATACACCCAACAGCAGGATTGATTAGAGAAACGTGTTTTTGAACAGTGCCTCGACCTTTCTCGTTTTCTCGTTAAGCAAAATAAATTAGCTGTCTGGCACAGCTTTCCTTGGACCTTTTGCTCATCCGTGTTGTTTTTCCATTAAGCCCGACAGTTGTTTTTGTTCTTTGCAAATGTTTGGTGAGGATATCTGCGCGCTGACTATCTTGAGGGGATTTTGGATGTGTTGGTGTGCGGTGTTACAAGGTCATTGCTGTGCATGTCCAGATTTAGTTTCTCCTCATGAGGATGGAAACGCTCCAGATTTTGCTCTACAAGTGCTGACATTATAGGCACATTCTCCATGGTTAGCAATAACAGTATTTGCAGACAAATGCCTCTGTAATTGTGAATGAGTGTGCCCACTGGATACCTTTTCACAGGCACAGATACAAGTCGTCAGTACACGCGCTCCATACATTGCAGCGTGAAGAGGCGTCTGTTGAGGGCCTTTAGAAAAAGTAGTTAATGACGTCGGTCTTTTATTTATTGCCTCACCCAAATGATGTCAACGACAGTGGAAGTAACAGAAGCCACAGATACGTGCTCCAAAATTCCAAACTTGAGTTTTGTTGACCGGTTGTCCATTACAAAGCTGAACTTGGCATGTTGGCATAAAACTTCATCTTAGCCAAGCATGACTTTAATGTTTTCCCTCTTTTTTTTTTTTTTGCTGCCAGAGAGGAGCTGGAGGGCTTTGTGTCCAGTGGTACTTTGGACCACCTCCAAGTATGTTTCTCCAGAAATGACCAGAAGGACGAGGAGGCCGTCGTCTCAGGAGGCTCTCCCAGATACGTCCAACACAACTTGCTGCTCCACAGCCACAAAATAATCAACATCTTGCTCAAAAACAATGGTTGCCTCTATGTTTGTGGGTAAGACTGACTGAGTGTAAGCCGGTCTTGATTGGAGTGGAAATATTGTTTTTCTCCATTGCACACTGATTAAGATTATTAAAGGGGGGCCGTGCACTTGCATGATAAAATAAATAAACTGCTTGATAAATCTCCTGCGAAAGAAATGCAAACGCACGCTTGTCTTGTTGCTGTAAACCAATAAAAAGGTTGTGCGCACTTTTTCCTTGCCCACAATAACAACGCGGCTTAAATATTATTTTATGCATACCTGCACACTTCCCATATATTTGTGTGTCTCAGTGCAGTCTCAGTAAGACGATGAATGATGCATAACAATGAGTCATGCCAACAGTTTTATAGCTCGGAGTCCCATGATTTATCGCAAGGGTCTCCCTTTTTATCACTGCGGGTCTACCTGCTTCTTTTAAATGATCTTTGAAACATCCGGACTAAATTAAATGAAATAAATCCCACCTCTATGTCAACAGAATGATGAATCTGTCCCAAAATGCTGCAATCGCAAGATCTAGGCTGTGTCTCAATTCGAGATTTATGGAGATTGTCATTCAGTGTGTACAACCACATACGGGGAATGGCCTTTTTCTGGTTGGGTCAGTAAGACGATGAATGATGCATAACAATGAGTCATGCCAACAGTTTTATAGCTCGGAGTCCCATGATTTATCGCAAGGGTCTCCCTTTTTATCACTGCGGGTCTACCTGCTTCTTTCAGTAAGACGATGAATGATGCATAACAATGAGTCACGCCAACAGTTTTACAGCTCGGAGTCTCATGATTTATCACGAGGGTCTCCCTTTTTTATCACTGCGGGTCTACCTGCTTCTCTTAAATGATCTTTGAAACATCCGGACTAAATTAAATGAAATAAATCCCACCTCTATGTCAACAGAATGATGAATCTGTCCCAAAATGCTGCAATCGCAAGATCTAGGCTGTGTCTCAATTCGAGATTTATGGAGATTGTCATTCAGTGTGTACAACCACATACGGGGAATGGCCTTTTTCTGGTTGGGGTTAAAAGTAGGGGATTGTACAGTCTTACCAAACCACACAAAATGCAAAAAAAAAAAAATTGTATTGCTGTATTCCTCTGACACCTGCGTGATTTCCTTTCTCTTCCCATCTTTTTCCACCCTCTCCAGAGATGCAAAGAACATGGCTAAAGACGTAAACGACACCCTGATGGAGATGATCAAGCGTGAGCTCCAGGTGGACCAACTGGAGGCCATGAAGCAACTGGCTCGCCTCAGGGAGGAGAAACGCTACTTGCAGGACATCTGGGGATAACGGAGGACTTTTTGATTTTGATTATTATTAGTGTTATTATTTTTAATGACATGAAATTCAACATACGTTCTCAGCCGTGTCCTTGTGCGCTAAAAAACGGGGGAGCCGCTGATAACCGCGATGGAACATCCGTTGCATTGCTTTGGAGAAGGTGTCCAACGTGCTGACCTGAGAACACGGCGTGCTGACATCATCTCATGCTTGGCTTGTTGAGCAAAAGTGACCTTGGCCCGGCCAATAATGCTGCTTATTGGTTCTGGCGGTGTGAAAATGCTTTGAGGGTTGACAAGCACTCCGTGTTTGTCCTGCCAGGGAAAGCATTTAAGTCGACTTTGATGGAGGGATTTCAATGAGACTGAAACCGCTCTGCGGTTCCTCCCTAGATAAACAACAAAGTCGTTGACACACACGCACGCATACAGATATGAAAGGATTGCGCAGGGTTTAGAAATGGATTTTTTTAGTATTGTGGTATTTTCTTTGAATGTGCAAAATCCACTGCCAACTAAATACCCGACGTTCGCAAAGAAGCTCCGAAGGCCACACGCCAATCACTCCACACTAAACACTTGAGTTTGCTTTTATGCTGCTTGACATTATTATGGAGTCACCTTTCTTTTTTCTTCTTTCGAGAATTGGATCTGAGGAAAACAAAAGAGCTTCCATGATTACAGGCACAATACGCGGATTGTTTCTTTGTGTGAAGTTCAGTGTGTGCATATCGGGCATAAATATCCAACCTAAAGCTCAGCCCTGAGCTCTGAGAGGAATCCATCCGACTTGACTTTGCTTTGTTTTAGTACTGCCCGCATGCACAATGTTATTTTGGACTCCTCCGAAAATGCAGCCAGGCTAGGATCTCAAACACAAGCCCACACACCGCCTCTCGTATTTTGCGGCCTGGCAATAAAAATAATTTCGAATTGGCTTCCGGCGTCTCCTCTTTTCCCCTTTTATTGCTCAAAATGACATTTGTGGGTTTTCGGGTGCAAATGACCCGACTCTATGAACTTGTGGTTGAGGAGCAATGGTGAAAAGATGTGAAATTTGTCGTGACTGAATCTAAAAATTGAAATCGTGCTGACTTGAAAGTTGAAGGTGCCTTTGGTGAAGAGAACGAAAGCATCTGCTAATTGAAGTCTTTTTGTGGTGTGCCGCAGAGCCCCAGAGAGAGGCTTCCTCAGAATTAAATCTTCTAACAGCGGTCGTTTTAGTTCTCGTTTTGAAGGGAGGGTAGACGGGGGGGAAAAACATGTTTACAATCTTCCACTGCCTCCACCGTTGATGACACACCATTTAATTCGTCCTCAAGCCGGGTAAACAAAACCGGCACCATTCTAGAAAACCACCCCCCGACTGTGACTAATTGCTTTCATAGTATATTGTCAAAAAGGGCAAAACGGCTCTTGGACTGAATCATCTTAAGAATGTGACGACACAACCAGCGTTCTCTCAAAACTCAGAGCCTCGCACGCTGCTCGCGGTCCGCGTCACTCGATCCCGCGACCGCAAAGGACTGAGGCAAGTTCAAAGTTATGGCTGGCTAATTAAAAAGGTCCACAATGTCAAAAAGTACGGCAACGGTTTGGAATAAATCAGAGCTCGTTGGAGGTCAGAGCGACCGGAGAGCAGTAACACCCCAGTGAGAGACGCCCCTTGTTAAAAATGGCTAAATGAAGCAGAAAGACGTGCGCTATCGTTCATGACTCTTATTATGAAGAGCGTCGAGTGGAGAGGTGCAGTTCATGTCAATGAACAGCACAAGACCCGCTTGACACACAAAGTACTCCACGGAGTGAAGATGTTAGAGGAGTCCAATCAGCCCGGTCGACACAATGCCCACTTCATTTGACTTTGCTCTGCGGGAGTGAATGGAGTGTCGCTTTAGCGGTAACAGTGCTTAACACTAAGGCATTATTAAATGTGACTACGGGTCCGCTCAGGCAATATGCGGGTGAGCCTGGAATAAATGTCTTCACTTTCCACATTTGTTTTCTGGGAATTGTTTCAAGGATGAAAATGACAAACCGGAATTAAAGGTGTTTGACTTTGGACGCTCCGCTGTCCTGTATTCTGTTATGTGTCAGAGAGTCGGTTCAGAGGCACTCATGTGGCAGGCCTCAAATGCTTGATTTGAGCTCTACGTAACCTAGAGTTGAAATGGGAAAATTGCCTGACTGACTGAGCAAAAACAGTTTAGTGCTGCTTTGAAAATGAACGCACGATTGAAGGAAAGAAATGAATCTTAACCGAGCAAGACAGCAGAACACCGACACCAAGAGTGTCAGTCCATATTTAACCGCTTTGTCAATTTATTCATATCATAAACCTCGGTCATTGAAGATCGACAAGTAGGATCTTCTGACTCCCAAGTTCTATTTTTCATTGAATCAAAATCTCATGGCATTTTGTTCCAGAATGAATGGTGCCATGGCCGTCAGTTCAACGCGGTTAAGCCGAACGTTCACCTTCAGGAGCATCCTCATTGCACTCGAAAGTGAGAAATGAGACCCAAACGAAATGAGAAAATACTTTTTAGATTAGGACGGTCATAACAGATGAGGAACCTAAATCCCCTCATTCCCAAACAGGTAAATAAGATGACATCCGTATATCCATCGGGCGGCCCGTTGTATTATCCTTCACAATCTAAATGGATCCATTTCAAGAGCTGTTGAGCGATTCTGCCTTGACAAATATGACGGCCGGTTGTGTACGTGAAGGTAGAAAGTTTGTCTGCCGTACTCGTGCTGTTCTGTTTAGCCTAAAACGGAATTTCTAAGGTCAAACAATGTGCCGTGCTGCCGGTTGACTTCTAAGTTGTTGGAATTTCCCCACTGGAAATCATGTAAAATAAATAAATGAACTCCAGGGTCAAAGGTCACCATTATAAAACTTAACAATTACAGTCGTCGGTTGTAACATTTTAGAAGTGTAAAGATAAATTGAGCAATGTATGGGGGGTGGGCTCCAACTCACCCGCGACCCTCCGCAGGATAAGTGCTTCAGAGAATGAATGGATGGATAATAACACTCAAGTAAAACTACTTAACCTTGCAAAACGCCTGATGCAACCATAATATTGTCACCTGGATATGTTTTATAGGTGGAGTATCTGCTTGCAAGCCCCATTAGAGCACATGCTTTATGGATGTTTTGCAGGTATATGCTGGAAAAGAAATGGTACGCAGAGATTCCCAGAAAGATGATAATATTATTTATACTGTCTATAAATAAAGCCATTTTTTTCTAAAGTAGACAGTAGTCATGGCAACTAACTTTGGCTTTGCACAACAACAAGTCTTTTGAAGATGCATTAATCCACCGGGATTTTTACATTTGGCTGCAATGCGGTGCGGAATTCTAGCTCAGGTTAGCCATTTTCAGATCAAAAGAAAAACTAGTCACGAGCTGACGATTCGTCGTCCTTGTCCGCTGCCGGGGGTGCAGCGCGTGCTCTGCTCACAATTTCTGAACACGACTGTTTCATCCCTTTTTTGTTGGGACACAAAGAATAACCAAACGGCACATTTGAACATTGTTCGGAGTTTCCAAACGGTCTGAGTGAAGCTTTGTGCTTGGAACGTATTTCCAAACGCACCCTAGATGAGGCTATGGCAACAAGCTCTCGGACACGTTCGCAAATACGCTCAGAGCACGCATTGCTTTACTCCAACATTTCAGAAACCCGGAGCATTATTCAAATGTGCCATTGGGTTTTTCGGAGTGCACCAAAAACAGAGTGCTGTGAATCCGCAATAACCGAACGACGAAGTAGCGAAGGGAACACTGTACTCCAAATTTTACCACTTTTGGGCCATTTGATTTTGGAGGTTCCACTATATATCATTTTAAAACGTTTTTTTCCCGTCTACATTATCTTTGTTCCACAGAGAAAAAAAAGTTTTTGTTGAATTTGCTCAATTTGATTTCGTCAAGTTGTTGCACAAAATAAAATCATCTGCATCCAGGTGATTTTTTGAGGGCACAAGACATCTACTTAAAAAACATGTATTTTGTGCAGCCACTTGATGAAATAAAACGGAGTGAATTCAAAAGATCATTTTTCATATTTCCAATGGAGTGTGCTGATGTCGGTGTGGTGAAGCTTTTATTCCCAAAGATGAAAAATATGCTTTGTTTCTGGGGATGGTTCTCATCCCTTTTACAGCTGTCAAGCAGATGCAGCACCCACTTCCCACAGCAGTTGGACCCATAAACCAAAGTGCCAAAGATCAAACTTTGGCTGGCAGTTCTAATGCTCAATTCATGGACCAGGACTTCGGTTCATGTGGACATTCGGTCCAGCCAAACTTGACTTGCGTAATCCCTCCTTTGATGCATTTCATAAAACAATAAATATTGTAAAAGCCTTTTACTACATTTAGTCAGATCTTATGTCAGATGTTGCTGACTGTTACGTTCCAAGATCACGCCGGCCCGCACACTTGGCCGAAACGCACGCTGCACAAGGTGTGCATTTGTGCTTTTACAGGATCATGGGGTCCGACCACTTCACATTAGGTGCTCAGGGTGAGAAAGGGCTCTCGTTCTCTCCCAAAAATATGCGGGTATGTTTGAATGTTAGCAAAAATAATGAGAAGCCTAATTATATTGGTGTCAAGCTGCAGGAGGTACCGTGCAAACAAGGCAAGGCGGCATAAGACGATGTGTTCTTAGCAGCAAGATGGCAGGATCACTGTGTAAAACGACCACTAAGCTCGACAAAGTCCCTTAATCACTCGTTGTCTCTGGGGGGGGCAAAAACATGCAAGCTCGACATGAAGTGCTGTCTAAGCCTTGTTCTCGCAACATGCACACATGCTGTACACGCATGCATTCAAACGCTACGTCCCGAACAAAAGCAATTACAGTGAATGAAGGACAAAACTGGGAAGGTCGTATTTTTGGTCCTCTTGTAGCACCGGACCGATGGTCCGGCTGTACAATGAGATTCCATTTTAATGCCAATGCTAGACAATTGCACAAAACCCATCAAACCAACCACGTTCATCTCTGTGCTCTTATCAGTCACGACAGGGCATCTCAACATTGATCCTCTCCGGATATATTTGTGGGCTTGGAGACCCTTGCTTTGCTGGACAAATGTTCAACATGAAGGAATAAAACATGCCCTCGCTGCATGTATTTTTTTTGGGGGTCAGGGGGTGGGGGGACAGATTTAAAGCTCCAGTCCTGTTTGATGCTGCTGTGTCCTACACACAATTTGTAGTCAGCCTCTTCAATGCGCTCACATTGGACTTCTTGTTAATTGGCCGTTCTGACGGTGGTGCCCACCCACCGTTGGCCCACCGGGGTTTGATAAATGAGGCGCTCACTTTCCTCGCGTGGACTGAAGTGAGTGTTTGTTTTCCAGAGCACACTTTGATGCCCATGACTACTTGAAAGAAGCAGGGCGTCTTTGATTGCTGCACTTGAAGTGAAACCCGACATGAAACAGTAAACTTTAAGGGTGCCATTTGTTAGTGTCTTTACTGTAAGCGCTTCCAAGCCCCCTACTGAGGAGATGAAAGAAAACTACAAAGCCGTCGCGATATCAGAATGCAGCGGTACGAGCAATAAATAGTACATGATTGTACAATTAGTCTGAATGTAAATTGCATATCCAAGTTATCATTGATGAGTTTGTGCCTCTTTGTTTGTGGGGCGGCGGGGGGGGGGGGACAAGTCTATTTACTTGTATTTTCTGACTAGACTATAGTCCACTGATCGAGTTTTCTAGTATATTTACTGACCATCTGAAACAACTCAAATGCCCAATGGCCAAAACGCATGCAAAAAAAATCTACAGGCGCTAAGGCAAAAACCTAATACGGTCACCAAATAAGTTCCTAACACGTGAAGTCTTAAATACTACATATTAAATGCATCGATCTTTTGGGAAAAAAGTTGATCAGCGCAAGTAGGTCTGCAGTTTGGTGACAATCGAATCGTCTGATATCGTCCCATGACCTTCATATCATTCATATGTGAAGGTCATGGGACGTGATGTGACTTTTTAATATATTTTTTTGTTTGTTTTTTGAACCGAACTCGTCTGTGATGTGACTTTTTAATATATTTTTTTGTTTGTTTGTTTTTTGAACCGAACTCGTCAGGCCCAACATTTCCATCCCTTCTTTTCCTAATTAAGTCCCGCTGCTTCCAAGTGTTGGGGTTGTGTTCTTCATTGCTTCAGCCCTCCTGCGTGACTCTTCTGTTTTGCCTTAATTCGCTTCTTGTGCTCCACCTTTCTGTGTACACGGTGCACATTTATTGGCCCGTGCTGCGTCTCAGCCTCTTAATGGATTGATGTAAAGTGCTCTCCTGGCGCTTTGCAGCTGCTTGTTGTCCTTTATTGCTGCAGAAGTTGTGGCCTTGGGATGTTTTTTTTCTTCACTTGTCCCACTGCGACGAAAATGACTTATGTACCTGATGAGACGTTGCAATGACAATAGCCGCAGCAATAGAAAATGTCACCATATCAATTAATATTATTGATCATTTTATAAATAGGCTTCTCAACAACCGTATGGATATTCCAACCATCCATTTTCAATGCATATTTATACGAGCAACCATTAACACCTTTGGAGAATTGTGATTCTTCAATTATAGCGTATTGAGAATTAGAGAGGAGCCCGGATGACCTTGTCAAATGCAAGAATGCTGAGAATATGCAAACTCCATACAGGAAGGTTGGAGCCACAATTCAAACCCTGGACTTCAAAACTGCGAGGCAGATGTGCTAACCACTAACCACAATCACCGTACTGCTTCTCGATGGATATTTTTCCACAAAAATTATTCCTACCAAGCTTGATATTAAGTATCTGCCTGGCTATAAAGGACACAAAAAAGAGGACGGAAGAAGACAAATATTTACAATTTTCATTTTTTCCCCCCTACATTTGGAAAGTGATTCATGCCCCTGACATGTTTGCGGAAACACAATATTATACACATTCATCTAGCAACATTGTAGCATGAGCATTAGGTATGCATGTATTCAGAAAGAGTGTGAATAATTTGGGTAAAAAAAATAAAAACTCACCTTGTTTGCGGATAATGACTCAAGTATCATTTCCAGTCTTCCGTATGACCTTAACATGACAGTTAAGTGTCACTTTACTTTGTGGGGTGACAGTGGGTAGCGTGAGACGCAGAGGGCATCAACACCTCAAAAGTCTGACCTCCAAAACAAAGGTGGGTGGTGTCCTCATGCCTCCCTCCAAATGCTTTTTGAATCTGAAAGTGAGAAGAGCGTCACTGTGTGTGGTGGCCAAATGACATCATGTTTGCTGCTCCCAGATTGATGAGAAATACATTCAACTGAACTCGACGGTATTTCTGGAGCACTTTAAAACAACCACCGCTGTATACAAAGTGCTATACGTGGAGCAAAAATCATTCATACAAGAACAAAATAAATGAATAACGAAGACAGTAGAAACTCACCTGATACATGTGCAAGTTGAAGGAGCAAGTTCAAGCAACAATATGCAAACTGCACACAGGACGGCCTGAGTAAAGATTCACAAGTCTTGATGAAGGGGCAGATGCTGCTCAGATGATTTTTTTTTCCTGTCTGTGAACAGATAAAAAAACAAAATGTTTTATGACTCACACAACAAATATACGGCGAATAGACTGTAGCTATTGGAGTTCCCTTTAAAGAGTGAGCCTCTCCCTCCATACAATGTGCCTATTTCTCAAAAAGCCAGCGTCTTACTCATGCTTATTGTGTATGTGACCGTGTCCTTCAGCGTGTATTCATGAACCCGTTCTCAGAACGAGCGGTCCGATCCGTCTTTGTAATGGCGGCGCAGGATGGCTAACTCTCAGGCCCCAGATCCGTCCTCATTTGGTTGGCATTTCGTTTTGCAGGCCACAATCTTTCCTTCCTGCGACATGGGCAGAAACCTTTCACCCTCTCCTTTCCGTCCCGCACACCGACACGCGCTCTTTCCCCCTCCGTCTGCATCTCTGCTTTTCACGCCACTGAAACAGGATGAGTCAAAATGAGGACAAATTGATACAAATCCCATGGAAAGCAGCCAAGGGTGCGAGGAATAAATGGTCAAAGTGCGTGCGTGCAAGTCGACGGTAAGCATAAATCTGCTGATGTAGTGCTTGCGTTCCTTTTGTAAGTGTGTCCATTGCTCATTATGATAGCCATTACTCTGAGACCGAGAGGACTTAGAGGACGCCGCAATGTCACAGCTCTATCAAAAGCAAATCAGCAAAAGCGACTCTAAGAAACAAAAAGGGGGGTGCACAAATAAATAAAACAGACTGGAATCAACTTGTGTGGCTAACCTTACTGCAAAGAGGAAGTGCAATACACAGAGAATTCCCCACAGTTTACTCCTAAACCGAAATGACCGTCATCACTGGTTAAAGGCAATTCCACTTCATCGGGTTCTTTTGCCTTGAGCAACACAAAGCCGAGTCAATCTAATCATGAAGCAAGGTGAGAAGCGAGGGCAGCAGGAGGAAAGAAGAAAGAAAGCAATGGAGGCCGAAAAATAGCTTTTCGCATGTGTGTGTGCGTGTGTGTGTGTGTGTGTGTGTGTGTGTGTGTGTGTGTGTGTGTGTGTGTGTGTCAAGGGGATTTGCAACATCAATCCGATGAACTTAAAGCCCCCTGGCAAGATCCCAGAGGTGTTTATGTGTCCAAAACCCATACGGCATCATCCTGTGCGCCGTGCTCACACTCCCAGACCTGGACACTTTTTCCCAACACGAAACCAATTTTTGAAAGTGCAAAAATAAACACGCTTGCACAAACCTTCACCTTTTACTTTGGATGCACATTTGCATGCGGGAAACACATTATGACTCCATTTCTCCCTGCAGCGCCTGGGAATAAAGGTCCATTGTGTAGGTGTGCGCCAGCACTTTGGTCAGCACAATGCGGCCTCGCCGAGCCGCTGGACTGCTGAGCACTGCAGGTGCGCTGCATTTCAATTTGTTCCGGGTGGGATCAAATTCAAACGCCTTGCGAATCTTACGGCGTAGGACAGGCCCGGACACCGCACTGAATTTTAGACAGAAGCCATCCAGTGGTTGCAGTTTGAGCTGATTGTCCTTGCTCAAGTCAAATGTCCTCATTTTATTCTCATTTTGCTTTCTTGACACCTTGCGACATGTGAATAAATGACACCGGTGTCGTCTCCTTTCGGCTAACGGTTAGGCCGAGTGGGAAGCTTTGCTAATGATGGTAGCTTCATCACAAATTATGGACGGATGTGATTAATCTTTCATTCGTTGCCGTCAATTCGCCAAAGTCAAAGTCCAAAGTCCTGAAAGGGCTGGAGAAAGTGGAAGTGCAGAGGTTACAATAGGACGACCCCCACCCTAATTACCCCCATTACTCACCCGTACTCATAATTTATCTCATCCTCGTTTGGAAATGAAGAACGTCATCATGAATGACAAATCAAACTGCCGAGGAGGAGTTTTGCTAAGCAAGACCGATCCTTGGTGATTTTGAATTTTAATTGATTAATACCGGATTGAAAACGTCATGTCCACGTTGTGACTTCTGACTACAATAGGCCAGCACTGGTGAGCACACGTGCTGATGAATTTAGAAACCGGGGATTGAAAACGTCATGTCCACGTTGTGACTTCTGAGTACAATAGGCCAGCACTGGTGAGCACACATCTGCTGATGAATTTAGAAACCGATTGGCCATTTGTTGAATGACTGGAGGTTGATTAAAAATATTGACAAAAAGAGGAGAAGAATGTACCGACATCTGTTTTCAAACGAAGAGAGTGAAAATAAAAAGTCATCAAAAAAATAAACAAGTCCAGTTGAAATGTAAAAAAATATACATACATGTACTCAAAGGTAATGAAGCATTTGTACTTCACTTCCCACTACTGCGTTTAGCAATAGTCTGTTTTACAACTTGTGTCTTCTCAGCGTAGATCAATAGCTCATCACAGGGCTCATTAGTATACGAGATGGATTTAATGATGCGAGGAAATGAGGAGTTGGCTAAATAGGGGCAGCAAAAGCATGCGTCCAATTGTTAACTGTAAAACAGTGGATGGATTATCTGTTATTTTTGGACCAAATCATCACAGATAACAGGATGAGTGAGTGGCTTTTCGTTCACCTTCATGCCCACGTCAAGAGAAAGGAGAGCGGATGGAAAATAGCCAGCTGCTTTCATTTGGTGGATGATTTCCCTGACCACAAAGAAACACACAACACAACGGTGCGAGTGTGTGCTCACGTGTGACACACTGTTGTGTGTAAATAAAATTGTTCTGTCTGAAATTCTGTCGGAAGTGGTCGTTATCGAATCTCTCTGCGTAGTGCTTGCCTTCCCGTCAAGTGTGAAATTAAAACAAGCCAGTAAATATTGTCCTGGTCTGTGTTTTTGTTGCTGTCTTGGATCTACTTTGCATTCTTTTCATCAGATTTGGGTTTGCTTCAAGTTATCTGGAGTTTTGCTTGTGTTCCATGTTTGTGCCTTCCCTGTCTGGTCACGATGCCCGTCTCCACCTGGTCTAGTCATTCCTGCGCTTCTTACCCGACAACTCCATCCATTCACTTGTATCTTGGCTAGTTGTGCCTCGTCATTTGTCAGTAGGTTTGTATTTAGTTTCTTTTTGTCAGCTCATTGTCACCTCTCCTCATCACATCAATAGGTAAGCAGAGCTGCACAGATGGAGCTCAAACAGTGATCAGATTAAGCTTCTGCCAACCAGTGGCTTCGCGAATGTTCGGCTACGTTGATGCCAATTGTCCACCGCGCAGATGTGCCACACAAATTGCCAGATGTCAATCCGGGGCTTGGGGATGATGCGCTGCCTCCACGAGTGAAAACACAATGGATCACCCTAAGGATCCTTTTAAAAGCAAAATATCCTAATGCAAGCACTCACACTCCGTGCGATTTTAGATTCTTTAGGTGATGTTTTTCTCACTTTCACAGCGGCAGCATTCTAGCTCGGACAAATCGATCGCATTCTTGGAATCTGTAATGAGTGTGGACTTCAACATGTATCCAGTCATTACACTTTCTCATTTTGCATTGTTTTCTAGTTAAAGATAATCAATTTTCTTACAAGCTCAAGTCCCGTACGCGTTCACCGCCTGAAGTATGCTAAAGTACTTCCATTAATCACAAACTACACCCTGGAGGGATCTTCAATTGTTCATCCCAGAATGCCAGTGAGACAAAAAAAGGTTTGGATAAGAGTTCCTCTTTCTCTTTTGTTTTCCAGCATCTACCCACTTCTACTTTACTCATGCGGTGACTGATGAAAAGCTCATTTGTCATCCAGCGGGTAAGGAGAAACATTCACACTGACCTCCGCTCTCCCGCAAATGAGACAGAACCAATGCGGATTCACAAAGTCAGGAAATATTTGTCAAAAGCCTCTTTTTTTTTTCTTTTCATTGTCATGTGACAGCCCCAAGGTGCCATATAGTCGTATTTTGCACCCTACAAAAATGTCTTGTCATTATTATCTAAGATGCCGATTAATACAGGATACACTCAGTTTAACTTCTAAATTGAAAGACAACGTGCGGAGTGAGCATAATCCGCATCAAACAGGATTCGGATGAGCGTGGCCGTTAAGTCTCGTGGGGATTTGTTAAGAAAACAATACATCAAAGCCATTTTGGTTTCACTCAATGATCTAAACGTTATTTTAATTTTGCATATCAGTGACGCCTGCTCAGCCGACTCACCGGTTATTCGGCATCATCTGGGGACAAAAATGTAATCGTGAAGCAATCAGTCTTGTAGATGTTGATATTTCACAGGTGAAATTGAATATGTGACCTGCTGGCGCTGCTACGGAGGGGGGTGGTGGGTGGGGCTTATGGGATCATTGGAGCAATTACAATCAATCCAGGGGGGACCATGAACCTCTCGATGAAGTGACGTGATATTCCATCAAATGGGTTTTGCTAAAACTAATAAAAGACAGTCGCTGAGTGACAAAGCCAAGTGCGAAACAAACTAAATAGGATTTTTTTATTTCGCTGGCTAATTGATCAAGCGGTCATACGTCGAGGCAGATTAAACGGAGGCCATCACATTTGCATGCTCCTGTAAACATCCATCCATCAATCCAGTAGCTTGCCCCTATCGGGGTCAAGGGCGAGTTGGAGCGTGGAGCCTCTCCCATGCATTTGACTTTTGGGCGAGAGGCTCGGCACATCCCTGGACTGGTCACCAGTCAATCACGTAGCGCAGACTACTGGAGATAAACGAGCAACCACTCACTGTCGTGACAAGCCTGTCCAATTGTTTTTACTACAACAAAACAATTTCACCGCAACAGCTACGAGTCAATGATCATAACACACTAGCTCACAAACCGACTTTCGATACAAACTCCATCCAGGCCACATTTTAATGAATACGTTGTTCTAATCCAATTCCAGCTCTGTTGGTCGAACATAGCGGCACTTTGAAAGAGGCCACCGCACCTGATAGGGCATTGATAAGTCTCCACTGCTCGTTGTGGGCGCGATCTTTGGGTTGACAGAGCGTTTCTGTTCTCCTTGTGCACCGAGAGCGACATGGGATGGCCGAGCCAGAGCAGCTGGGTCCGATGAGATGAATCAAAGCTTGTGAGGAACCTGGCGGAGACACGGAGGCTAATCGGAGCGTGCCGATATCCTCCATCTTGGCTCGACACCTAAATAGCCGCTTTGAGTGGGTTGAATAGGCCTGCGAAGCATTATCGAGGTGCTGACAAGCGTCAGTGGGGTTTTGGCCGGTGCTTCTTTCGGCTTCCGGCAGCTGAGACCTGGAACGCTGGACCAGCACCTGGGATTCCAGATGTCCCGGGGCAGAATCGGCAGTGGGATCTCTCAAGCGACGTTAGGGCACATGGACATTCATCATTCTTTAGCCTGGCATGGCTGAGCCGGGGGGTGCCGTGCCAGCTTCCCGCATGTATCAGTGGCTCTGTGAGCCCTCCTGGATGGCGGGACGAAGCAAGGGCAGATGGGAGATTTTGGGCAAGACAACCAAGAAACTTTGCCAAAGTAACAGTGATATGCAAACACGCACAAACCTCCAAACTGTGAGGCAGACATGCTAACCCCGATGTGCTTCCCAGCAGTAGCGATTGTTTTTGCTCGTGTTTACGCCATTTTCTCTTTTCACACTTCATGAAATACCGTAAATGACGTAAGCACTTTGTTTTGTATGAAAGTCAAAGGCTTTGGTCCGGTGCCAAACTTGTCAAATCAAGAACCCTCTTGATTTTAAGAGGTATCTGACATAATTATGGACCGTACTTGACACACGATAAGTACATGACTTTGCCTCATTTCATCAGCAGCTGCATCCATCACTTGTCCCATCTCATTCCCGCCAAGACAATTTGACCAGACAACATCCGACGGTTAAATCGTCTCCTCCAAGTCTTAACTTCAGCTTTCTCCAAACCAACAAATCACATTTGTCTGGACAATCAGATGACTCGGAATAACCACAAAGAATAGATGGTGTACACTTGGTTTCTATCTGATCATGCCACAAAGACGTGTCCACCAATAAAAATACGAGTAAAAATCTGCGTTTAACGTGATGTTCATGCTTTGCTTCCAAGCCGACAGGAGCAGTCTCCCTAACTCGTCTTGTTTGCCTCCCTGAGCTCCTCTGCGTGCATACTGTCAATTAACTTACCTCCTGAACAAAATTGTTTTGCACCGAGTCATTTCTTTTGTTTGAAGAGGCCTTGTTAATGAATCTATTTCACATTCAAATCACATGACGTGGCTGCCAGTCAAGAGGAGACTCTGCAATAGAGCAGAAGCTCTCAGACATCATACTGACGGTTTGTGGGTCAATATTGGCATCGCTGCAGTGAATACAGATTTTGTATACTCTGGTTTTCAATCACTACAAAGGGAGGACGTTTTGAAATGGGAGGGCACGCCGCCATCGGTTTGAACACGGCATCTGCAAGTGTGATATGCAAGGCTGCCTGTGGCTCCAAGTGGGTTCAAGAAAAACAAAGTCGTGTGAATCTACAATTCTCCTTAAACCTTCACGGAATTGGAAATTTCAGTTGTTTTTAATATTGGTCCAATGAGTGGTCTAAAAAAAAAATTATTTATACATATATATTTATTTTATTTGAAAAAAAAACACTATCAGCTGGCAATCACGGTTCTAAAGAGCACTTAATATAAGGCTCGGCCTTGTCAAGTTAAATGACAATCTAGATTTATACAGAGGCGCCAAACTCATTATAGTTCGGGGGCCTCCTACAGCTTAATTTGATGTCAAGTGGGGTTGAAAAATAAAATCACAGCATGTTGAATACATTCCGATAAGTTCGTAAAGAGTAAAGAAAACCGTCCAATTTGTTTCAGTTTATCGTCTGCACGTATTCATCGTGACTGATCGCGGTGATTGTACGTGGGACAGGACAAAGTCATAAAACCTTAAGTCACAGGTATTTAGAACTAGAGTAAACACAAGACATTAAGTGCAGGGTCAGTACAGTATTTTAGCATGTCAGATTGAATTCCTGAGCAAGCTTGTTTTGGCTACACTGGCCATATGTTAGGCCTCGAATAAATTACATTTCCCCCCTACAATATTACAGCATAATATGATGTCAAGTGGGGTTGAAAAATAAAATCACAGCATGTTGAATTCATTCCGATAAGTTCGTAAAGAGTAAAGAAAACCGTCCAATTTGTTTCAGTTTATCGTCTGCACGTATTCATCGTGACTGATCGCGGTGATTGTACGTGGGACAGGACAAAGTCATAAAACCTTAAGTCACAGGTATTTAGAACTAGAGTAAACACAAGACATTAAGTGCAGGGTCAGTACAGTATTTTAGCATGTCAGATTGAATTCCTGAGCAAGCTTGTTTTGGCTACACTGGCCATATGTTAGGCCTCGAATAAATTACATTTCCCCCCTACAATATGTAGAGGATTACTCGTTTCACTGCTGGAAGCACAAACACCCCGCCGACGCAAGCAGGCAATCTTTGGATCCACGCCAGGTAAACGATACTCGATGTCAAGGCACTGGCGAGCTCGCACCGCATGTGACAAGAATAATAAAGCGTGCTTGGAAATGGTTGATCCTCTTGAATATTCAAACTGTGGGGAAATAAAAGTGGTAAGGCAAGAATAAATGTGTGTGTGTGTGTGTGTGTGTGTGTGTGTGTGTGTGTGTGTGTGTGTGTGTGTCTGCATGTACGTGTGAAAGACAGGTCAAAAGCCGTGAGGTACGATCATGTAACGGCAGCCGACTTTTGTTATTTTCTGTCTCCACCACGGAAAAAAAAGGCCACATTGTTGTTCGACCAATAAGCGTGGGAGAAGCTCCAAATTCACTTTTCATCCATAAGAACGACTTTATAAACATTCTTCTATAATGCATATCCCATTACTCCATTCAGAGGCGTAGATCACGCACTGGTAAGTGTTTTCAGTGAAAACTGAAGTTGTCAGTAATACTGGCAACATAAGATGGCTGCCGCCTGGCTTTTGCCACAAGGGGACGATTGTTAGTCCACTAGATATATCAGTGAAAAAAGCGGGTGGATTTTGCTGCTTAATTCATATGCCACAGACGCAATATGAAACAGAATATCGTGTTCAGACGAGTGGTGCCGCACAGAACATGTGAAAGAACATTTTTCACTTGACTTCCCCTTTGAAGATACATGCGGATAACTAGACAAGCGCTATGACATCTTCTCGAGTGACCTTCAGCCGTGATCGTTAGCCATGTGCCCACTGTTTGCGAAAATGTCAAGATGCCAGGAAGACAGTCTTTCCTGGACAGAGTGTGAATGAATGTTGTGAAAATACAATTCATGAGTCGTCAAAGTATCAGTGTGGAGGGAACAGTGGAAAATGTCATTGAATCAAGTAACACTAATAGAAAAGCTCCAACACACACCCACACAGACACGCACACACACAGACTGGCGCCCGTATTGCTTTCCCAGGCGACCACAATGAAGTCAAGGTAAAAAAGAGATTGATTCTGAGGAGCCAGATGGAGACGGGTTGTACATCGGGCTGGATCAGCAGCACCCCCCACCTTACCCCTATCAACCCCCCCCATCCCCAAGCCAACAAAACAGCATGATTAATGACACCCCGTCCATTACCCTCTGCGCATAGACGGGACGTCAGGTTGAAGGTTGATGGAAAACATCACAGTGTGTGGTATTACGCACCATCATACGCATTAGGCTTTCGACCTCACAAAGCAGCCCCCACCTTCCTGTTTTCCCTCGGTCTCTTTTTTTCCTGCTGCCTCACGGCATTTTTATCCTTCAGGTATCCTTCCACTACTAAATAATTTCTCGCTGCGCTGCCTGCACAAGACTTGCTGGGAAAACTGTTGTTGTTCAAGTTATAGGTGAATTGCTGATGTTATTACGGACTGGATTTTGTACAGTATCATTCACCAAAAAGATTATACCTGCAAAAACAAAACAAAACAAAAACAGTCATAGAGGTACAACTCTATCAGTGAGATATCATGGAAAAGTTCAGTTTAGATGTTCATTTCAAAAAGGGAAACTCTACAGATTCATGAATACATTGGCACCTACCTTTCAGAAGGCCAGTTCTTACCAAATGTCTTCCTTCAAAAATCAAACATTGCATGATTCAAAGCCGCCAACCTCCTACGGTGGTGACATAACCTGAATTTCGACAGCGAAACGTGCCACAGTCTATCGCTAACCTAGAGTAAGTCCTAATTACAATTCTCAAGTAATTAGCTCAGTGTTTAACCAAACATTGAGCTAATTACTTCTAACCACGGCATTCGACTTGGCACGTGTGTACCAAATGAAGCAAGTGTATAAAGTTATTGACCTGTAGGTGTAAACAATCAACACAAACAAGTATATAGTGTCTGAAGCAGCTTTTAATTTAAGCACAGCAACACAAGCAGACATGTAAAAAAAAAAAAAGTTAGTCGCAACCAAACCACTGAATAACCTAATATTTGGTTCTGAACAAAAATGTCTTCTCTTGATGACAACCTTTGCTTGCAGTATACACGGGTAGAAGCTGTCAAGGATAGTGTTTGCTACACTGCGTCTGTACAGTAAATACCATTAACATCCTGCTCCCACAAATACAAAGACAAAAAAAAGAGAAGCAAACACTGTTTTATCTTGAACATTTTTTTTTTACAAAAAATACAAAAAGTACTGTGACTGAATTGGTAGCAGTTACTTTTCAGAATACACCAAGAAATTCTTTTAACACTTGAGACAAATGTAAAAAAAAAAAAAAAAAAAGAAAAACTTACAAAGTTGACCGCAACTGATTCAATCACTTGTTGCACGAGTCTTTAAGCGGGAAAAAAACTTGACTTCAAATATCTACATCCTGATTCTTGCTAGTCATCTTTAAAAAGAAACGTGAACAAACCCCCCCCCCCCAAAAAAAACAAAACTAATGGAATGCTACCATGCAAACTGAGACGTCAGATGTGTCATGCAAAGCAGATTTTTTTTTTTTTTTGGTGCCTCATTATAAATGCGGCACTTTTCGAGGGTCACAGGAAAAGTTAAAATGGATTCCCCTTTTGTCTTTGTCGAGTTGTTGGGTCAGTGGGAGAGCCAGTCGTCCTTTTCCCCAGAAAGTGAACTGAGCTTTCCGAGTGTACCGCAAGGCACCTGAGAGTGGGCCGCTCCCTCTGTTGGCATGGCGACGTGTTCATGTTTTTTCCGCCAGAAGTCTCAGAGCGAACGGAGCTGCCCGACGCGTGGTTTCACGAATCTCAAGATATACCAAACGCAAAATAATTCAGTCGACATGGAAGGACGGGAGTTTGGCGTCTTCGTGTTTAATAGTCATCGTAGGTGTTGAGGTCGGTGAAGTATTGGTTGGTGTAGGTCTTCCCAGTGAGCTGTGGGTTGAAGTACTTTTGCCGTTCCTCCAGAATCAAATTGTTTTTGTTGAATGCCTGCGCAAAGGAAACAAGAACGGGACCAGTCAGTCTGCTCTCGTTTTCTTTATACCGATTAAATCATTATTCAGCTCAGAAATGGGAAAGTGTATCAGGGGCTGCACTGAAAAGACAAAAATAGGAAATAAAAAAACAACACCCTTTAGCCTCGTATAAATAAAATGATTTTCTTGAATTATGAGGATTTTATGATTGTAATATTAACATCTAGTTAAAAAAAATATTGATTCCTGTCAAATTACAACTTTTCTTGTCCACTGAAAAACTGGTGGTTGCACAAAATCTAATCATCTGGATCCAGATGCATTTTTTTAAGTAGACGTATAGTCTGCTTAAAAAAAGTGTCCTGATTGTGCTTATTCTTTTCAGTGTGGCCCTAAATAAAAAGTCAAGCAACTGAAAGGCATGAAATGAAACATCCATTTAAAAAAAGGGCAATGTCGGGGCATTGGGAAGAGGGATTGAAAAGAACGCAAGGCCACCACGTGACTGGACTGTTTACTGTGCATTGGCCTCTGTCATCTCTGACAACCAGCATGAGCCGTTTCTCGAGCCTTCCGGTACGTTCAAAGTTAGCAATACGGACGGCCGCGGGGTCGCTTGTCCTCTTTTGTGACCTTTTTGAACCTGGAATCGGCTTTGAAGCTAAGTACATCATCAGCAATTTTGACGAGTTGGATGTGTTCATACTGTTACGTGCTGAGAGGCTGTGTAATTGAACACTTGATGATGCTGCATAGACCGCGGATACACAGACGCTGATAGGGAATGAGGGCACCGCGCGGGGGGGAAAAAAACGCATTTATTTGGCTTCAGTCCTGCTTAGTAATTTGTCCACAAAGGAATGCAATCAACACGTTGTTGGCCCCCGGGGACGCTTCGACAGCATGCCTGCAAAAGTGGCCCCTTGGCGGCTCCTTCACAGCTGTGCCCGAGCGCTAATGAGCATTTTCTCACCAAGAAAGCGCTGACTGAATGATTGTCTGATTCCTAAGAATCAAGCATTCGCAGTAATGTGTTGGAAAATGTACCGAGTCAAGGATACGATTGCCTTGCTAAATGTGCTGTGTGAATGCAGACGGAACTATCGCACCGTCCTGCTGCAGAAACAAAGGAATAAATATGCATTATTTGAGGAAACGGATGTCAGATTGGATCTATTAACGTAAGACAAGAGTAGTTTGCAACGAAGCAACACAACAAGGACAATTGAAATAACTCAATAGAACGAGTGTTACAATGGGCTATTTCTTTTTGTGGCCATGGATTGAAAGTTTGTGCATTTAACAAATGGAGGATAATAAGTGTTCACAACACTGGTGTTTTTTTTTCTTTTCCAGCAGAAGCCTGACATTTGACCACGGCTGAAATTTCCAGTCATAATCCCTATTGCAAACACAACACTCTTCATTACTAAAAGAGAACCATGAACAGTTTAAACCTGCAGTAAATGTAGCCACTGCTAGAAAAAAAAAAGGCAAAAAAACCTAAAATATTTGAAGTTCAATCCGGGTTAATTAAAGGCAGTCTAGATGGCGGCATGTGTGCGCTTACTCCTTTTAACACGGGTTTGAATGTAATTTGTTATTTTTGAAGAGTGTGCACACTTGTCGAACCATATTACCTCAGAAGGTATTTTTACATCCCCTCTTTGTAAGTTTTTTGTTGTTGTTGAAAACTTCAATGATGCTGCACAGGTTGGATGTCTTATTAATGATGGAAATCCTTTCTTTCGCTCTCCTTTTCATATATATCCACTGTAAATTCATTTTCAATAGGAGTTAAATTATTACCGAGTCTACGATTAATGCGGGCTATTCACAGACTTCATTTCTTCAAATGAGTTCCGCTTAAAATATTGCTTCAAGCTGTACTGGCATTTTGTGATGAACAGAGGAGCGTTCAAATTAAACACACAAAACATGACCAAACAAACAAGAGAGACAAACGTGAAAGAACAAAAACATGCAAATAGAGGCAATCGCAAAGAGAAATATCATCTCACGAGCTGTGCAGGGGAGAGGAAGGGAGTGCGAGTCCTTCATGATGGGGAGGGGTCTGAGCATGGGGAAGATGAACTAGAGGCTGTAGTCCAACCTGTCACGCACAGGAAGTGCCACAGCAAGTGGAAGGAGCACGGTGGGGG